GCGGTAGTCTTACATGTTTGGGCTGCTCGTTCAGTTGGACAAAACAATGGTCAATTTTCGTAGTGGTAGATCCGTAGTGGTTCAGAGAAAGTAACAGTTGAGCCAATACAATGCGGTATCTAACTTACGGGGTTCGGTAATGACAATAAAGAAAGGAGATGTACAAATTGCAGAGTTTGCAACATTACTAATACGGATATTTACAGAACTATATAGTAGCATGTAAGGAAACTACTCGTAACTTCAATCATATAAAGAAGTAAATCGCATTGCAATACCAACAAACTGTATAACTTGTGAAAAATGAGGAATTCAGTACTATTCATGACTACTAGGAAACTTAAAAAAGAATAGGGGAGAATCTCACTAATGTTCCCACCCATAAGGTACACACAAGACTCTACAATCATTCTCAAATTGTGACAAACGAATACACGTTACAGTACTCGACTCTTCAACAGGCAGTGATAAAGGTCCTTCACTAGCTTATCTCTTTGGTTTAACAGACTGGAGAAGAACTGTTCCTCGGAACATGCGACAGCAGAGGCGTTGGCGGTGTGGGCGTCCTCGTCAACACGCACTTGGCCATGAACATCGATTCGTACGAAAATCTGACGACCCGAATCGGACGTTTGCGATTGAGAAGATGTGGTTCAACTCCAGCTTTGACAATCTTCGTCGCCTACGCACCAACATCAAGCTACGACGAGGATGAGCTCGAAGCGTTCTATATGGAATTGGAGAAGTTCTACAAGGAAGATCATACCTTCTTCAAGGTCATCGTCGGTGATTTCAACGCTAAGATCGGACCAAGAACAACGGCAAACAACGGTAATTGCCTGCGGCTCGTGCGGCTCCACGTTGGCGAATCAGCTCGAGAGTTTCCAGAGATAGACGCTTCTTGGTAATCTTGGAACTCTCTGACTTCTTGGCGCAGTCGTGAAGTGCGACAAGCCGTTCGTATTCCTCGTCGATGTTGTCGATGACGGAATCCTCCCAGAGCCCAGCGAGAGAAGTGAAGTGATCCCAGTTGATGACGGTCTTGGGGCTTCGCTTCTTGAACTTTGCGGCTCTCTCTCCTCGCATCGAAAAGCGGAATCTTGCGCGAAGGAGACGGTGGTCGGATCCCGTGTAGAACTTAGGAACAACAGCGACATCGGTCAGGCAAAACCTTCGATTGAAGATGATGTGGTCGATCTCGTTATGGAATTGTCCACCAGGAGACTCCCATGTCCAGCGTAGAGAGTAGGGCTTCGACATGATAAACTCAGACAGCCTTTCACCCTGCTCATTCCACTCCGTTCCGTGAGTTCCGATGTGAAGTTCTTCAGCCGTTCTTCTTGGTCCGATCTTAGCGTTGAAATCACCGACGATGACCTTGAAGAAGGTATGATCTTCCTTGTAGAACTTCTCCAATTCCATATAGAACGCTTCGAGCTCATCCTCGTCGTAGCTTGATGTTGGTGTTAGATTGTCAAAGCCGGAGTTGAACCACATCTTCTCAATCGCAAACGTCCGATTCGGGTCGTCAGATTTTCGTACGAATCGATGTTCATGGCCAAGTGCGTGTTGACGAGGACGCCCACACCGCCAACGCCTCTGCTGTCGCATGTTCCGAGGAACAGTTCTTCTCCAGTCTCGTATACGGCGTGTAGCGGGCGATGCAGTCCGATGACGTCGTACTTGATCTTCCTGGCTTGCAACATCAGATCTTCGATGTGAGCTTCCGATGCAAGCGTCCGTGCGTTGAAAGTACAGATCGTCATCCTAGTCCTGGGCGACTTAAATCTCCGTTGGCCCTGTGATTCTTGCAGCCTCGCCCGAGCGGTCCCAGCCGACGTCGCCCTGTCGGTGGTTCCCTCAGGTTCAGGGGAATGAGGCCCATAATTATTACTGTTTTCGGCGAGAAGAAATTTAACCACGCGTAGCTCGCCAGGCTCTGACGTGGCACCCTCCGCATTGGTACGGTGTTGGAACAGTCCAAGTTCACCCCACGCCACTTGAGGGTGTGGATAGGATTTGTAGGGGACCACAACTTGAAATTCTAAAAATCATATGTTTTCTGGTTACGTATCTAGGCATCCTTCTGCACGCTGTGGAGGGGTGTGAGATTTCTTGAGAAGGAATTGGTGAAAAGGTAGAGGAGCTGCAGTAGAATCCGTGATTTCTTGAGGAGGAATGGGAAACAGAGGTGGGGAGCTGTGGAGGGGTGCGAAAGCTCTTGAGAAGGAATGGTTGTTGTTATTGCATGCATAGTCCCGTGGTACACATCGGTGATAGGCTGATAACGAGTGAGTATTTTGCAGTCGTGCTCTGAAATGGAGTAGATGACAGAAAAAGCAGGTGAGAGTGCTTGGACAGAACTGGTGTAAAGGTCGACCATCGATGGAAGAACCATGTAGAAGCCATCCATATACACTGCGAAGCATAATCATAGTTCCACCCATGAATCTCACAAAATTCCTTCTTACACGACGTTTAAAAATATACACCATACAGAAAATGTGGTAATTACCAATACCAGTTCGCATGCCAACACCGCGCACTAATTGTAAGAACACTTTTTTGTCGTCAATTTTATTCAAATTAATGGTCTTTCTGACAACGCAAAATGATATTTTCACCGCACATTTTCCCGATGCATCTCATTTGTTAGGTAAAACTTCTCATCATTATGACTTCTTGCCTTTTCTAGGCTATGGCAAGTGGAACTTCATTAATGGACCTCGAAAAAGGACAGATTATCGCAAAGAAGACTCAAAAACTGTCGGCCGTCGAATGGCAATGGATTCGGGCCGCACTCATCATGCTATCAACAATTTTTCAAGGGACCTACAGGATATTGAGTTGAGAAGAGCTCTGGACATCCTCCTTTGCTGCCCGATCGGAATAACCGCCGTATCCTTAGGAAAGCATCCAACTCTGCAGTGTCGTGTCGGGAAATTAAGTCATCTTCGCAGGTTAATGTCTCGAAGGATACTGTTAGGCGTGTCTTGAAAAACTCCTGAGTTCACCCACAGGAGGAATATGAGTTAGGCACTGTTTCTAACAAAAAACCATCGCGAAAACCTAATTGGCTTTGCTCGAAGATGTTGCCGAACCGATTGGAGTGAGGTAGCTTTTGGCTGCGGTGCCCTACTGCTTGTCTGTGTTGTTTTTTTTCAGTTTTTTTTCTCGCGGTCGTGTTTTCTGATGAGAAAAATCCAACTGCGACGGCTACGAAAACCGATTCCGCTGGCACGACCTGAGGAAAGACAAGTTTCATTTTTCCGGGCGGAACTTCAGTGGATGTGGTCTCATGGTCTGGGCTGCCATCGCATCAATGGGAGTCTGAAACTGTGCCCCCGTATGGAAAAAAATGATTTCTCCCGTCTATCTAAAAGTCATGCGACAACGTCTCCTTGCTTTCTGGCGTAGAAATCAGCAAGAAAGTCCCGTTTTCATGCAAGATAATGCACCAGTTCATGACAGTCGAAGCACTCGAGCGTGATTCAGTCGTCACCAAACCGCTCTTTTGCCCTGGCCAGCGAGTAGCCCCGACTAAAACCCAATCGAGGATGTGAGGGGCTTCATGGTGCGTATGATCCATGAGAGTAATGCACAATTCCACAATGTCCGTGAGCTTAGGGAGTTAATCATTGGTGCAGTCGGCCGAAAGCCTACTGAAACTTTTCTAATCGAGCGTGGGCAACCGTATTTTCCAATGGAGTAATAGCCAATAGATTACTGGATCGAAATTTATTAAAAATGTTGTACTTTTGTTGTTGGATTATTCGATTTGTTCCGTGGAACTATCATTTTGCTGCATTGTCAGAACAACCATTTTTGAAAAAATATGAAAAAAGTTTTTTCAAGTTAATGTTTGGGTTGGCATGCGAATTAGTATTGGTAATTACCACATTTTCTGTATGGGGGGGGCATTTTTGAAAACGTCGTGTAAGACGGGATTTTGTGAGATTCATGGGTGGAACTATGATTATGCTTCGCAGTGTAGACTGACTGGGCCATTGGTAGAGCGGCAGAATTTAGGGATTGGAGAGAGAGACAGGGACCGTTATATAGTAATCTGTAAGCATGCTCGAGCAACGAAAAACACTAACGAGGTGTGATGATGTTGATCTCGACCAGCTGTATCGATATCTTTTCAGATGACCACCGAATTGAAAGTGAGTTCTGCAGGGTCAACAGAGAAAGGCTGTAGGAGAAATAGAAAATAGGTAGAGAAGTGTGAAAAATCACAGTCCGAGATTCACTTCGCCTTTAAAAATTGGTTGTTTAGAATAAACTTTTATTCTCAGTGTAACACTCACGGAAGCGAGAATTTACTAACTTTCACGTATCATTCCTAATAATTTCTACTCTACTTATTTCGCTTCACTGAGCAGCCAGTGAGGCAGTTAGCGCAGCAAATATATGGGTCATGCCGCAGGCAGGTTCAGGAGATACTAAGTGTCCCATCGTAACCTGCAGTATCCCTACAATATCTTACCGTTCATCGCTCCTGCTAAAGTCCGCCGCCCTCCACTGTTGAGCGTTACCACTTTCATTTTTGAGCGACATATCTAGCTCCACTATGGATCAGGAATGTGCCTTGAGTGAAACTTTTGCCGCAAGTTGCACTTGTGGCACGTAAGTAAATAGAGTCGAGACGCAGTGGAAAGGCTTGTCACGTTGAACATGTGAGTGACCACAAGCTATTGTAAAAATACAATTGTGTTGAGCAAACAACACCTGGCATCGCTGGCGTGGTAATTCTATTTTTATACTCGTTGGTAAAGCATGAGATGCTGGTTCTAGTTTCCGTTAAGTCTAAGCACATCGTCAACAACTTTCTCACCCTTCCGGTTCGCTAGCTGCGGATAAACAGTGGTTACCGAAAGAAAACAAGCTAGCAAGAAAAGATCCCAAAGTGTCTGCAACGGCTGCGCTCTGCCACAATGATCTTGTTATGAACCCTCGAATCTTTCACCATGGGTTTTATTCAGATAACGGATTTTGGAATGTGTAAAGAAGGAATCACTGGAGGTGCAACAACTAAGACTTTTTGCGGAACTCCTGACTATATCGCCCCAGAGGTGAGATAAATTCTGGAAGAAAGACACAATGTCCTGCACTCCATTAGCTCATGTATTCGCGTTAGATCATACTGTACCGACCTTACGGTAAATCGGTTGACTGGTGGGCATATGGGGTGCTATTGTTCGAGATGTTAGCTGGACAACCACCATTCGATGGAGAAGACGAGGATGAACTCTTCACTGGTATGTGTTTTTGCTTGTTGTCGTCAGACATATAAAAATTTACAAGATTGTTGTGTATATCGTTACCCAACCTACTTACCTCCATTCCAGCTATCACAGAACACAGTGTTTCGTATCCTAAAAGCCTATCTAAAGAAGCAGTTTCGATTTGTAAGATGCTGCTCAACAAAAATCCCACAAAGCGACTGGGTTGCTCGATAGACATTGTTGCAGCTGAACTGGACGTGAAGGTGTGCAGGTTATTATTGCTCTTCCATACATAGATTGCAGTTTGTTATTGCCGCATCACAATGTTTGTAACTATCTCTAGCTTTTTTCTGATTTGAGTTTAGTTCAACTACAGGCAATGCCAACCAAAAATATATTCACTGATTTACCATTCACTTACTGCCAATCACCAGGTGAGGAGTCGGAGCCTCGCAATTTGGCTTTTGCGGTTTCATGTTGAATAATGAGCTAACACTATCAAAAAATAACCTCGGATAAGCGAACAAGAACTAATGAACTGACTTGTTTCGCTCGAACATGACAATAAGTGAGGGTGTCGGATAGTACAAATTATCACCGCGACCTGTCGGGTCGCAATCAGCGGTTCCCACCCGCGGCTAGAGTGTCAGGTCGATGAAACTGAGCATTTCCGACAGCCTCTCTTATTTTTGCAGTCAGAGAAAAAGCTCATATCGAACAGATCCACATGTTAAGTATATAGCCGGAGAGCTCCGTCTCTTAGAAATACTTATAAGGGTTTATTCAATTCAAATGTTCCAATTTGGACTATACAGGCAAGCATCGACCTTGTGCCCACCTGAAGTCAACAGAGAGCTTACTGGACCAGCTTATTTGAAAAGATCTATGTCAAAGAATGTTGAAGAGAAGAGGAATCGTCAGAGGTCACCGAATGCTTCCACATCATCATTGACGCCGACCCTTAATTGATGGGAGAGGTTCAAAGCTTGGTGGATAGTTCAGTCCTGGGCAGTCCATCCGCAGAAGGGCGTCCTATGCAGTGCACATTTAAATGGTCTAAATATTCCGCCTCATAATGCCTGAACCCACATAGAACCGTCATAAGAAGTATCTTTCCTTAGTCACGCACTTCGCAAGTTTTGAACTTTTTATCTTTTTTGGGAGCCGAGATAAAGTGCAAAAAGTTGTCGTAAACTCATATTTGCGACGACCCGCCAGTCCATTCCAATGAAGAAAAAATCGACAAAAATAAGAAAGAGTAGGCAACAGTTATAATATATTTTTTTAAATGAAAATAGTCCATCAAATGACGTAGAACACTCTGGAAACAGTTTTCACTTTTTATGACATTTTTATGTAAGAAAAAAAACGCCATTACCCGTGAACCAACCTAATATGTATGTATATACATATGTATCTATTGCAGAAGGAAGGAACGTATGTATCTCGTATCAGATCTTTCCTTGGCCATGGATCTTTCCTTGGTCGAGATTCAGTTATGTGGTCTATGGGAAGTGTGTTAAGTAAGCATCCCACAGCTTCTTCACCGTCCCTCGCAGTCGCTGTTCTCATATGAAAACGGTAATTGAAATTCATCATTTTCGACACACTTCGCTATATGAATCTCACAACGTGGTTGGAGCCACAAGCGGCATTTCTCTGAGTTAGGTCCTGATAATACCTTCCACAGTACGGCGCTGAAATGGCCCGATCGCTTCCGCTTGAGTGACTTCTATCTGGGAGAAAAACTTCGTCCAAGGAGGCCACCTGCCTTGGATTTGGACCTACTGTGTTCCTTGATTAAAACCAATTCGTACAAATCAACTTGCTATATATAGATCTTACACTTGACTGGTCCCAAAGCACAAATGAGAGAAGGCCTCGATCCCTCAAGAAAAGTTCTGAAGTTCGGTCAAAATTTTTCTCATGAGTTGACCAGTACTCCAAGGGGAGCACATGTGGGTACTGTCTACAACTTCTCTCCTTCCGCCGTACGGACTGGTTGAACAGCGCTGTAACTGGATATGGAGTAGGTGTCTCTAGGTGAATCACTCCGGAAGCGCCAGTGGCTAGATCTTCCAGAAAGGGCAGAACCGGTCGCGCAATCCTATCAATCCAGCCAGTGGCTTGATCCTCCAGAAAGGGCAGAACCGGTCTAAATTCTATCAATCTAGCCAGTAGGGCGGTGAGACTGTGTATGTGGTGGGGTTTCTTTCTCTCTTCCCTCAAGGGAATTTCTTCCTTCTTAACGCTGTGATAACCAACGAACCCTATTGCGTTGGTTATCACAGCGTTAAGAGGAAAGGGGCAGTATGTTTTCATAGCCTACTGCGTGAGCTTGACGACTGTCCATCAGGATCTAGAATCAACCTTAGTCCGGGCTTCACCAACTTGCCAGGCGATCAAACCAAGTCTGCAGCTGCTGCTCGGGACCGTTCTCTTCTTCACTGACGAGCACCACATCGTCTGCATAGAGAAGGGGCTCCTAAAGGCTCGGTTTCTTAAGATCTCTTAAGATGGCACCGATGAAAACTACGAACAGAGGCGAGGAGAGCATAGAGCCTTCATATACCCCAACTTCAGTGGGAAATTCCTCCGAAGTGCCTCTCAGTGTTTGGACGCGGCTCTTCGTGGTGGGCTACAGCATGCAAGAAGCTTCAAGACCGTCTGTTGCCGCAGAGCGTCCCACGTATCTTCACGCAAAACATGGTATAACGCCTTCTCGTGGTCCACAAAAGCTGAAAGCAGTGGATTCTGCTTCTCACGATGTCTCTCCATAGAAGAAGGGCGGCATGTATGGCGTCGATGGTGCTACAGCCTGCCACAAAGCCGCACATGACTTGATAGAAAGCTTGACGATCCCACGAACACGACCATCAATAATTCGATCTAAGGTCTGATACTGGGTGAGAGTAGGCTGCTTGAACAATAGTTCAAGCAGTCTGTAGGACTGCCCTTCTTCTATTCAAATCGGAGTCGTTGTGCACTTCTGCTAGTCCTTAGGCGTCTTCTTCTTATCGACCTTATTGAAGGGATTTGTCGACCGTTCTGCAGTGTGCCAGCAACATGTGTTCCACAATCGGCTGCCACTTCGTCAGCTCCTGTTCTTTTGCCTGGCTTCATCTTTTTGATAGCCGCTTTCGTCTTTTTCACGGTCATCCTTTCACGGGGCACAAACCGGTGAGGCGGAGCGGATGGCCAGGTGTGCATACTGCATTGTTGAAATGTTCTTTGAGGGAGCGATCATAAGAATGCTAAAATATGGACAAAAGTCAGATCTGAGAGGGAGTCGAACCCGATACTTGAAGAAGTCGCGTCATTGCCGCATCACCCACATTCAATCACGGCCACTTTCGTCGTTTACGTTAGATACTTCATCAGTATCTTCGGTCTGGCTATGGCGGGACTTGGCAACTCATTAAACCTATCGTTCTCCACCGCGTGAATCCAATTCTTCACTTACATCTTCGGGATGGGCGGCTTTCGCAGCAGCCACAGAAAAAATGAATTGGAAATGGACACGAAGGAGGGGTACTGGACCGTACTGACCGTGTACGCACCACAATCCGGTTGCTCCGAGGCGGAAAAGGATGAGTTCTACCTGACCCTGGACGAGGCCATAAGATCGGTTCCGGAAGATGACTACCTCACCATAGCTGGGGATCTGAATGGCCATGTGGGAAGTGACAGAAGGGGTCTAGAAAGGGTGCACGGAGGCCAAGGAATAGGGGCAAAGAACGCTGAGGGAGAACGGATCCTTGAGCCACAGCCCACGACTTAGCAATCTGCAGCACCTTCTTCGCGAAAAGGAGGACCCAAAAGGTAACCTACAGCAGTGGAGGGAGACAAACGGAAATCGACCATGTCCTGGTCAGAAGATCGTCTCTCAAAACCGTCAAGGATATCAAGGTACTGGGGAAGAGCTGGGCCCTCAGCACAGGCCTCTCCTGGCAGACATCGCCATAGACCTCCCCAAGAAGACGAGGGTGAGAGCAGAGCGGAGAATTCGGTGGTGGAAAATGCGCAAGGTAGAAAAGGATAGCCTCGGCCGAAGAATACTGGAGGCTGGGCTCCCAGACCCACATGGGCCAGTCCAGGACACCTGGACCCACGCAGTCGAGGTCATCCTACAGTATGCAGAGGAAGTCGAGACAAGGCAGCCTGGGGAAGAAGAAGTCCAGGGGATCGTCAAGCAGAAGAAGGAAGCATATAAGCGCTGGGAGCTGCAAGCGACTCGCTAAGGCAGCCGTTGCTAAGGCCAAGAATACGGAAATGGACGCCCTGTACGACAAGCTGGAAGGCCGAGAAGGGGACAAGTTCGTCTTCCGCCTGGCTAAAGCTCGGCATCGCGCTGCTCAGGACATCAGGGTCGTAAAGACTGTGAAGAGCAGCAACGGGGCCATTCTCAGGAAACCAGCCGAAGTCAGAAAGAGGTGGGAAGAATACTTCGAGGGACTACTGAACGAAGAATTCCCCGCAAGGATAGCCCACAGATAGAGGCGACGGCAGGCCCCATCACTCCCTGGACGGGGATGAAGTCCGCCGGAGCTAGGGAGAATGAAAGTTGGGAAAGCAGTGGGTCCAGACGGGGTACCGATAGAGGCATGGAAGGCCCTGGGAGAGCTTGGGGTGAGTTGGCTAACAGACTTCCTAAACAATGTAACGGCTGAAGGAAGGATGCCAGATGCGTGGAGGAGCAGCACAATCGTCCCCATCTTCAAACAGAAAGGGGACGCGACGGAGTGCTCCAACTACCGCGGCATCAAGTTGACTCCCCATACCATGAAGCTGTACGAGCGCCTGGTCAACACTAGGCTGAGGGAACTTGTCCCTATCTCGCAGGAACAGTTCGGCTTCATGCCCGAGAGGTCCACCACTGATGCCATCTTCATCAGACAGCTGATGGAGAAGTACCGAGAGAAGCGGCGACCCTGCTACCTAGCCTTCCTGGACCTTGAGAAGGCATTCGACCGCCTGCCTCGGCCTGTACTCTGGAGAGCGCTCAGAGAACGTAACGTTCCGGAACACCTGGTAGCAATAACAAGCCTGATGATGATAACAAGGAGTATAAAGCAGATAATCGGTCTCCGGCAGCGTGTACAGGGAGGGGGGCAAAAAAAGACACTTTGGCCGAGTCACATATCAGTAAAGTTCAAGCAGCCCAGACACAAGACGTGGATACGGATACCAGGGTGGAAGGTACCCAAGATATTTCTCAATAAGCAGAGACAGGCTCCCATCTATCACCTGCATTTACGCCAAAATATGAAGTTATCTGCAATTGCAGCCAAAACGAAGTAGGCCTATGGAATTCACGCCACCTCCAAAAATCTGCAAAACTTCTTGTATCGAGTCACCCATGGGCAGCTAGATGTTCCCAGTAAGCAGGAGCATGCTCTCTTCCGTCACCTTCATGTACACCAAAATATGAAACCATCTTCAATCGCAGCCTGACTGGAGAAGGCCTGTGGAATTCACGTCACCTCCAGCTGCGAAACTTCTCGTATGAAGTCACCCATGAACAGCTACCTGTTGACCGGCATTCTTGATCTGGAGACCTCCATCATCGGAGGTGAACGCTGACGGTTACATAGACCAACTTGAGGAGAATATCCTGCCTTCATGTCGTCGCCTGTACCATCTGGGAAATTTCGTACTCCGAATCCATTTTATGATGCTGAGCGGGGAGGGGGGAGGGTATGTTGTGCGCCTGAAACGAGGAAATCGAGAAAATCAGTGATCAGATTTCTTCCAGGAATCTGCCTGTTGTGTCTTGACAACGGTATATGTTAGGAGAAATAGGGAGCAAACGGAGTAAAAAGGAGGGAAACACTGAGTGCGAGGAGGTCCTGACGATGGTAGCATTCTTCTCGTGTGATGCACTCTTTGACATGAGCATAGCAAAGTTAAGCTCGCCTTTTCTCTGTCATCCATGGCTCCACAGTTGGCTCTTTCGAGGGCAGCAAGGCGCTGTATATTACACTGCTCATCAAGATTGCTTCAACTTAAACCATTCTCACGTCACACCGCCGTTACTCATTGAATGGTGCGGCCTTCTCCCGATTAAGAGTCAGGAACAGCCAGAGGATCAGGTGTGCATGGCACCCGGGCGATTCTATCGTCGGCAAGTCAGGCGACGCCGCACACGCCGCGCCGCGTCGCTGCGCGGCACGCCGCGACGCGGCAATCCCGGAGTTGCATACCGTACTCCCGAGTTGTCATTGGAGCAAAGGATTAGACTCTTTCAAATTGTTAAAGGGATCGTCGACCCTTTAACAATTTGAACGCCACGCAACAAAACTCGTACGCGGCGGCCGCCACGCCGCCTCGCTCCGCCCACCGGCGCGACGACCCGACGATAGAATCACCACACACCCGGTGTGCATATGTGATGATTGATGTAGAGTTACTTTCTACGTATTTTTTCACTTTACGTGTTCGTTAGAAAACGCCCAGCGACCATATGGCACATTTTGCGTATTTTATTTAGCTCGCCGTAGGCAAGAGCGCCTGGCAGAGTCGGGCCGCGACTCAGAGGACGAAGCGCCCGGCGACAGCTAGGCGATATGACTGGTTTAATACGATTCAGTTCCGACATCAATGGCCAGACAAACGAGACTAAACTCCGTTACCCAACTTTGGAGATGTTCAGCAAGAATTCTCTGAAATTGCTTAATTATTATCCAATTTTAGGGACATCCTTTCTTTCGGCGAATCGACTGGCACAAGATTGAAACTCGCCAAGTTCAACCACCTTTCAAGCCAAAACTGGTGGGCATTATAGATACGAATTATCATGACAAATCTACGTACCCATCGGCAACTATAAAATTTTTTTCGAACTCAATTGACCATTAATATCGCTCCATTTTCTGGCTGGTCGTTACTTTCTTCATCGCAACCAACAAAACTTACAAAACTGAAGGAATATTGGGCAGATTCATAGAAATACATACCTTTACTGCTATCGTTCATTATTTTTACCAGCTAGCAAAAGTGGTTCAATTTGACTCTGGCTTGCTGTGCTATACGTATCATACGTCGTTTCTATTATCATGGAATGCACTCGCAGTTTTGCTTGGTGTATATGCTGAGGTGTTCCAGAGGCTGAGTTTAATACGGCTCCAGCCTGTTCTCCTTTTTTTGAATTGTGCAAGCTGACAGGAGACCGCATTTGGTGGGGAACAGGTTGGCACCAAGCCTACCCTTCTTGAAGTTCTCAAATACAGTCCTCATCATTGCGGACCGGTGGGGCGTGTCAGCCATGAGTGTGCACACTGTTGAAGCCGTTCTCAGCCTTTTTGTTGAAACGCGTATGCGACAAAAAGTGGTAGAAAACGAGTAATACGAAGGATATAATACAGTAATGTCACTTGCCCGCTTCAACAACTGGTGCAGAACGACTTTGGCACCGCGCCAAACGCAGCCGCACTGACACGCCCCACCGGTCCGCAATGATGAGGACTGTAGGTGCTGAGCAGCAGTAGGCCGCACAGACAATGCGCGGGCAATCCGCTCACTAAAAAAAACCGTCTCCGAGTTCCACCAAACACCGCCAACTGGTCAGTATCCTTCCCCCTTGCCCTGATGGGAATGTCGGTTACCATCTTCACCGGTCTGCGGCTGCCTTTCAAAAAGGGAGAGCACGGT